CCACGCAGCTCGGCTCGCGCGCACTGTACGGGACGCCGGTGGCCATGGCGAATAAACACAGCGACACGTGGGTGGGCGCGTCCTGCCCGTGTAGGCCGCTGCCTCCCCTGCCCTCCCCCTCTACCCCCTCTCCCCTCCTCCTCTACACCCTCATCCCTCCCATTCCCTCCCCCTGTAACCCATCACCCCTCCCCCTCTACACCCTCATCCCTCCCATTCCCTCCCCCTCTACCCCCTCTCCCCTCCCCCTCTACCCCCTCTCCCCTCCCCCTCTACACCCTCATCCCTCCCATTCCCTCCCCCTGTACCCCCTCTCCCCTCCCCCTCTACACCCTCATCCCTCCCATTCCCTCCCCCTGTACCCCCTCTCCCCTCCCCCTCTACACCCTCATCCCTCCCATTCCCTCATCCCTCCCATTCCCTCCCCCTCTACCCCCTCTCCCCTCCCCCTGTACCCCATCACCCCTCCCCTTGTACCCCCTCACCCCTCCCCCTGCACTCCCTCATCCCTCCCACTCCCTCCCCCTGTACCCCATCATCCCTCCCCCTGTACCCCCTCATCCCTCCCATTCCCTCCCCCTGCACCCCCTCATCCCTCCCCCTGCACCCCCTCATCCCTCCCCCTATACCCCCTCATCCCTCCCATTCCCTCCCCCTGTACCCCATCACCCCTCCCCCTGCCCCCCTCATCCCTCCCCCTGCACCCCCTCATCCCTCCCATTCCCTCCCCCTGCATCTCCTCATCCCTCCCCCTGTACCCCCTCACCACTCCCCCTGTACCCCCTCATCCCTCCCACTCCCTCCCCCTGTGTGTACTCTCACCCCTCCCATTGGCATCAACTCATCACTCGCCCCTTTCACTCCGCATCCACTGCACCAGCCTCGCATCCCTTCCCCTCTGCCCCCTGAATTCACCCTCTCGCAAGAAGGGGGACTTTCGCCGAATCGACGAGACGAGTGAGGCAGTGGAAGCGGCCAAAGGACACGCTGGAGAGAACGCGCCACTTGTGTGTAGTTAGAAGCGATTAGATCAAGACATGCGCCGGAGTCCGATACGTGCAAACTACTGCACTGTATTGGCATTTCAAACGAACGATCGCGAGGAACGGGGCGACGTGTGAAGACACACACATCCAGCAGTGGATGGAGAGTGACGGCCTCATCCCTCCCTCCCTCCCGCCTTCTCTTCAGCTCACGACGTTTTTTTACACCGAATCTCGTCCCCCCACCTCCGATTAGCACGGTTGCCTACGTACGGTACGAAAGAAGAATCAGAAAGGAGGGTTTTATTCGCCGTGAAAGTTCACACAGACGCGGAATTTACTTTGGCAGGATGGTGCATACATTTCAACATATCGGAATCTAAAATCTTAAACAAGTGGTAAACAAGTCTTACTATAATAAGGGTTCAAAGTCTAACTAACACCAAGGGGCTAAAGTATATAAAATTGAATAAGTATCGAATATAAAATAGCTATAAGATACAATCTAAAAATAAAAAAAATACAAATAGGGTAACGTAGTTAATATTGTTCAACATACGTACAATCCCACCCCGTGGCTTCCGGCATCGACTTGCAATTATGGCTTTATATTTTGGTGATTTCGAAAACGTTTTTTGGTTTGGACATGTTTGTTTTGTCGTAGTACGGAGTTAGACTGATGGCCTTAATCTAAGTTTTCTTGTGGTTGTTGTTGTTTGACTTGCATCCCACTGGGATTTTTTGCACACAGCGTTGGTGTACGGTGCTTTTTTCAGGAATATTTTGCTGTTCTTTTTAATGGATTTTCTGATTGCACAGTCACACAAAGTCACTTTAAGATGTTTTTCTTGTTCGTGTTTTTGTTTGTCGTGGTTGCACCCGATTCAAGAGCCGAATGGCTCACAGGGCTATACCTAAATAAATAAACTGAAAAACTGACTTCTATCCATTCTCATCCCTCCTTTTTCCCCCATCCTCCCATCAATCCCCTCCCACTGCCTCCTCTCTCCGTGTTGTCCTCCCCTTCCCACGCCTCTCTCTCCTGCATGCCTCCTCCCCTGCTCCCCCCGTGTGTTTACTCTCCTCGCCCCCCACCTCCATCACGCCTCCCCCTGTCTGCACTCCGCCCCAGCTTCCTCTGCGACCTCCCCCCACCCCCGACGTCTCCTCCCCAGTTCCCTCCCGCCGACCTTCTCCCCCTTGGCCCTCCTCCGCCTCCCCTGCTCCCACCCGCCCCTCCCACGCCTCCTCCCCTCCTACCGGGGCAGCTGCATCGCCCACGGGCATTGTGTCCGCCTATCGCCAATAGGTAGTGCGGCACACGCGTATACAAAACCATACGTGTACACGTAATCCTACACACACACATACACGCGCGTGTATATAGCACACACACGCCGAGTACACACACCGCTACACAACCACGTGTACACGTCACGCACGTATACACACAATCACCACCACGTGTACACGTCACGCACGTATACACACATCACCATGACGGGTACACGTCACGAACGTATACACACATCATCACGTGTACACGTGACGCACGTATACACATCACGTGTACACGTCACGCCTATGCCCCCCCCCCCTATATCCCTCCCGCCGGAAACGCTCCGTGGCAGGCGGAGGCACATAAACCCCTCCCCCTCCTCCCTTCGAGCACCTCCCCCTAACCCGCCCCCATACACAGCCCCCTCCCCACCTCTCCCCCCACTTCTCGATCCCCGATCCTTGTGCCCCCCCCCGGCTCCTCAACCCCTCCCATATCCTCCTTCCCCCAATTCGCCCCTCCCTCACACCCAGGCCCCCCCACCCTCCCCTACTACCCACTTCGCGAGCCCCCCTCTCCTCCCCCCGTTCCCGATGTCCCCTCCTCCCACTTCTCATGCTCACCACCCACTCATAGCCCAAGGGGCCGTCCATAAATGACGTCACGCGATTTTGGACTATTTTTTACCCCCCCCCCTCTCGTCACACGGCGTCACAAAAAGTCAGACCCCCTCAAATATGACGTCACAAAGCTCTGCCCCCCCCCCCAAAAAAAAATAAAACATGCTTCAAATCGCTTTAAACTATTGTCATTGTAGTGCATATTTAATGTGCCACTGCACTCTGATGTTGTTGGAGAAAATATTTATTTTAAAAAAGTCTATTTAATTAAGCAGAACGTGTTGTCTATATTCATTTAAAGTTGCGCATTTTGATGTGACGTCACATTTCTCAAACCCCACCCCCCCTTAGGTGCGTGACGTCATTTATGGACGTCCCCCAATCACTCACCACCCACTCACCACCCACTTCCCGCACGCGCCCACAGCAGCGCTGACATTTGACCGTTAACTATGGCCGTGCAACAACAACAATAGCAAAACACACACACGCGCACGGCCAATCCGCGTTTGCTTTGGGGACCCAGGGGACGCGACGATGGTGCGCAACATGCCCGTATATGGGTGGCCAAGGGGGGTAGGGCTACGGTGAGCAACAAGGGGAGGCAATGAGAATGACCCTTCGATGTGTTGTAGGAGAAAGGCAAATGCCCGAAACGTCGCCTATTTTTTTTTTGTTTCAAAGGCCACAGTGTTGTTGAATTTGTTGAGTTTGTTATCGTTGTTAATTGTGCTTTGTGCACCACTGCTAAAGCAGCGGCAGCATCACCAAAACATTTTTTTCAATAATAAGTTAAATTCCCGTTTAATATTTAATATTTTAATCCAGTAACTGCCCTAGATATGCATGCAAGTACTCTTAATGCTATTTACAATTGTGCCCCGCTAACAAATATGAAATTGGTCGAATAAATGTTTTTGTGTTCATGACTTTAGTTTCGCTCAGATTTATCTTGTGCCCAAATTTGTTTGCATCCTTCTTGATAAAGTTATTTAATCAATTTCCCGACGATCATTTCCATTGGTTGTGACTATAAAGTATAAAGGAAGGCTATGTCATAAATATAACATGGCAGACTATGAAATTGCATTTGACTCGACGCACCCAGTTGAAAATGGTGCAGTCATCCAAGCTGTCACCGTCATAGATTTAAATAAACAAAATAGATTTAGAATGAATACAGATAACATACAAAAATGGAACGGCCTACACTGAGACCGCAGAAAGTTAAGCTGGCGAAGCTTTCGTCTTTTATTCACGGCCACATTGGAAGATGTTTTCTGAAATTTGGAAGAAAAAAATGCATAAATACAAATGGAAATAATTATGACCCAAGCCTCCTCTTTTTAGACTCTTGCATCACCCCCTCCCCAGTTCCTCCTCTTCCCACCCCCCCCCCCCCCAGTTATTCGCCCCCCCTCAGTAATTCGCCCCCCCTCAGTAATTCACCCCCCTCAGTTATTCACCCCCCCCCGCAGTAATTCGCCCCCCCCTCAGGAATTCGCCCCCCCCTCAGTAATTCGCCCCCCCTCAGTTATTCACCCCCCCTCTCAGTAATTCGCCCCATCCCCAGTTACTCGCCGCCCCCCCCCCCCCCAGTTACCCCCCCCCCAAGTTACTCGCTCCCCACCTCCCAAGTTAGTCGTCGTCCCCTCAGTAACCCCCCCCAGTTACCCCCCCCAGTTACCCCCCCCCCAGTTACCCCCCCCAAGTTACCCACCCCAAAAGTTACCCCCCCCCAGTTACCCCCCCCCAATTACCCCCCCAGTTACCCCCCCTCCAAGTTACTCGCTCCCTCCCCCCCCCCTAGTTACTCGCCCCCCCCCCCTAGTTACTCGCCCACCCCCCCCCCCCAGTTACTCGCTCCCTCCCCCCCTAGTTACTCGCCCCCCCCCCATTTCTAACTCTTCCCTTAACCCCTCCCCCTTTTCCTCCGGGCCCCTCCCCCTACCCCCTTCGGCCCCGCCCCCCTCCGCCCGCCCCTCTCCGCCTCCGCGCCATCACCGGTACCGCTCTCGCCGCGTCTCCCGCCCTCTCTCTCCCCGCCTCCATCGCTCCTCTCTCCTCCTCGCGTCGCCTCTGGGGTTTCGGGGCGGGATCTGGAATCGGGGATCGCGGGGGGGATCGGAGATCGGGGCGGGATCGCGAGGAGGGATCGGGGCGGGAGTAGGTGGGAGGAGGAGGAGGAGGCGGCGAGGCCTCGCCTCTCACTGTTGTTTTTCCCGCCCAGAGCTGGAGAAGGGCGGCATGGCCGCCTCGCTGGATGCCGACAAGAAGGGCGACTACCTGCAGCCCAGCAACCCGGCCAACAAGGTAAGCGGCGCGGCGGGGCGAGCGGGCGGGCCGTGCGAGCGAGCGAGCGAAGCGGCGGGGCGGGCGGGTACACGGGGCCCGGCGCTTCCTGGCGAGCGGGCGGGCGGGCCGGACGGACAGCAGGCGGGACAGACAGGCGGGGACGGGCGGGACATGAGGGCGGGAGGGAGGCCGGGCCTGACGCTCCCCTCCCCGATTTCACCGATCCCGCCCCCGGCAGGACTCGCAGCCGTCCCCGCTGGCCCTGCTCGCCGCCACGTGCAGCAAGATCGGCTCCCCGGTGCTGCAGCCGGTGGAGCTGAGCGCAGCGGGCCCGGCTGCGGGCACTGCATGGCAGATCATTGCGGCCGGGCCCGGCACCGCCACCATAGCCAAGGACGCGGCAGGGAACCTTGTCCAGCTGGCCCCGGCTTCGGGCTCCGGGGGCCAACAGTTCGTGCTGCCCCTGCAGGGACTCTCGGGCCAGGCCGGGGGCACGGTGCAGTACCAGGTGGTGCAAGCCGACGGCGGTCAGCAACATCTGGTGGCGGCCCCTAGCGGGGGACAGCAGCAGGAAGCTTCGGGCCACATCCACATCATCCCCGCCTCCAACCAGGCATTCATCACTCGGGGGTCGCAGGCCAGCATCATCGGCACCACGGCCGCGGGACAGAACGTCATTCACATCCAGCCGTCAATGCAGCTCCAGGGCGTGAACCTGGGCGGGCAGGCGCAGATGCTCGCCAACCTCCCCGTCAACCTGGCAGGTAACGTCACCTTCGCGATGCCCTTTGCCAGTGTCACTCCCATGGCCGCGGTTCAGCAGCAGCAGCAGCCTCAGCAGCAACAGACAGCGACGACGACGACTGCGTCGGCTTCGACAACTACGAGCAGCAGCAGCAGCACGAATGGAGTGGCGAACGGCGGTGACTCTGCGGAGCCAGGCCCCGGCGGGGAGGATACGTTGGCCACGGAGGATACCCCCGCTGACAACTCGGCGCTGGAGCAGGGTGCCGAAGAGTCCGAGGCAGCAGCCTCTCCCAGTGGGGCTTCCTCCCCCCTGCCTTCCACCACGTCCACGGTTAACGGGATGGCTTCCTCCACGTGCTCCACGTCCGCGCAGACGCAGGCCAGCATTGCGCAGCTGGTGTCGTCGCAAGCTCAGGGTCAGCAGTACCAGCTGGCTTCAGGGCAGGCCGTATTCCAGCAAGTTCAACTGCAGCAGCAGCCTGGAGGCCAAGCTCAGATTATACAGGCCTTTCCCCAGCAGCAGACATTCCAGATCGACACGCAGGGGCAGACCATCCAAGCACAATCCGTGCCGCAAAACATACAATTTCAAAACGCGGTCCCCATAGTCCTGCGTGTCCCGACTCTCAGCGCTGATGGGCAGATCACCTACCAGACCATCCAGATTCTGCCCAGCCTGCCCAATATGCAGCTCCAAAGCGCATCGCCGCAGCAGCTGACCCTGGCCCCCATGCAGACGGCTGTGATGACTCCCGTGAGCCAGGCGGGCACGGCGGGAGCACAGCAGCTCACCTCGGGCACCACGACGTGCGTGGCCATGAGCTCCCCACAGGTCACGGCGCTGCCCAGCTTGCAGACCATCAACCTGAGCTCCTTGGGGAGCACGGGCATCCAGGTGCAGCAGATCCAAGCGTTGCCCATCTCCACGACCTCGGCCAGCACAAACACCGGCGGTAAGGACCGGGCCCTCGGCAACAGCTGCACACACACACTGCCGTTCATCGTCGCCGCATGGCAATGGCACTTGCACAAGAAGAGGTTGTTTTTTTATATTCTTCCAATTCTGGTATGCCTCACGAAGCACAGAGAAGTAGTCGTTCGAGGAGTTGGTAAGCACGGTGCATGAATCGCAAGCGATCAATAAGCCGCGGTTTGAGTTGAGAAGCACCCGGAGTTGAAAACTAACAGTGATACAACTTGCATCTTTGGCGGTACTTCAGGGCTGCGGCTCTTAAACGCTGTTATGTAATAATGTACTTGTATTTATTCTGTAGGTTATATAAATATAAAACTTTACAATGAAAAAAATGTTGTTCATTCATTTTAGCCCTTTTAGTGAAAACATGTGTTGCATCCAAGACAACTGTTGCATAACCAAGTTGGTGAAAGCCGCCTTGTGTAGTCGCTTAAAAAAAAACTCACTTAGGTTTATAATGTGAAACTGAAAGCATGTCACCTTGTTTGTTGGGTATTGGAACAGCCGTGTAGATGTCACATTGTCGCCGGGTTGGAGGTCACTAGAGTCGAGCATCCCCTTGTGAAGTGAGGGCTGCGTGCAGGCGTTTCATGTGCAGCACTTAAAGAATGTTTTTTCTGGTATTTTCATGGCCTCGAAAATGGCTTGTGGAAGTCGGCGATGTGTTTCGCAGGATAGCATGAATGTTCAGTCTATTTCTGAGGACGTTTCACCAAATTGTTGGTGCTGATTATTACTTCGTTACCTGCCAAGTAATTCTAGCCAAACTTTAGGGTTGCTTTGTGATGCCTGCTGCTGGGGAACACTGCATAGTTTAATACACTTGTGAATGATTTTGGTCAAAGTGTGTGTTATCGCAGCACAATGGCTGTGCTTGTAGAGGGTAAGAAAGATTATTTCCTGGTGAAATGCCAAATGTGGAAACTTGTGCTACTGTGCTCACTGTATAATGTGTTGCTAAACCGAGCTCCACATTTTCAAGGCTTTTTGTGCTTCTGCAAGGGCCAACTTATAGATATATTCAGTCGAAGCTTTGACCAGTATGAGCACACGTGTTTTGTACATATTTTAGAGCCTAGAATTCCTGGAGAGTTAGGAATACAACATAGCATAATTTTTGTTTGTTAAACTACCAAGTTCAAACTTCTCTTTTCATTCAGTTGGTTGTGTTTTTTTTTTTACAAAATGTATCTTACGTCGGCGTGCCATCACTCTTAAGTCTGAAATTATCGAAGGGAAACGCGTGGGTGACCTTAACGTTTCTAGGCATTATATAACACCTAGTAGCTGCAAAAATCATGCATTTATAATAAAAGTATAGCATGCCTAACCACAAAAAAAAATTTACGCTCATTTCATCTCACTGCGTTACGTGGTATGAAAAATGCAAGACCCATCGCACGCCTGTTGTTACACAGCGTTGTGTGACCGAATTCTGCAGCGTCAACCGCAGGGGCTGGGGAGGGGGTGGGAAAAGCGGTGCATTTTGGGACCTGTGCGTTATTGTTGACGCGAGCAGGCCAGCACCTGTCCCAGGAGGGCAGCGACACGAAGTGGCAGCTGGGAGTGGAGGCGGTGACGCCGATGAGCGTGAGCGCGCTCACCGCCGAGGAACTAAGCCAGGTGGCGGCGCAGGTGAGCGGCGAGCAACCCGCCGAGCCAGCCAAGCGCATCCGCCGCGTCGCCTGCGCCTGCCCCAACTGCCGCGACGGCGAGGGCCGGTAAGAGGCTCGCGGCGCGATTGAACCCGAGGTGGTTGAGAGGGGGGAGGCTGTTACCTTAAGTTGGGGTTGTTTTTATTTTGTTTTGTTGTGGACGGGTTGGAGGGGTGGGGAGTGCCTTGAGCGCGGACCGGACCGTAGCACGGTCCGTGTTGGAAGCAAAAAAAAATAAATTATGGAATGTGGGAATTAGTCCAAACAGCCGCAGCTGCTTTTCCTTAACTCAAAAAAAATATATAGAATTTTTGGTAACTGTAAGCAATGACTTCCTCGTTACAAGTGAAGCCACCAAGTAACTGCCACTGATGTACTGATAACGTTGTGGCTGTTTGCTTTGTTAGCTGGTTTGCACTGGGTTGTTGGAGGGGAGACCAACCAGTCATTTATATTTTCTTGATCGATTATTTAAACGTAGGTGATTTAGTACTTTGTTTGACTTGGGATTTTTGTTATGTATTTTATTTGCATACATCTGCATAGATGATTGGTTGATTGCCATTATCCCTCACAGCGGGTTTCGAAGTGTAAGTAAAACTCGAAAACGTGATGAACCAGAGCCACCAACAAAAAGGTCCCCACTTGCTGTAAAGTCTACACAGAGGCCAGCACTTGCTGTTAAGCACCTCCGCTTAGCACGGTTGGCTACGTACGGTGTGAAATTATTTACATACAAACAGCCACACCAAACTCGACCATCACAAAGGTTGAGTTGCAGTGGTGCAAGCACATGCACGTCGCACTAACTCCCAACACGTTTATCAAACCCACATTGACATGTCAGTGTTTCTGTAGGTGTTGTGGACAAGGGATTGGTTATTTATGAGTAGTTACTCAAAACACATGACCTTGCATCACAATGGTTAATCTTTCCTCTTTGAAAGACCTTGCAATAAATAATTACGTGTAGTTTTTGGGCTACGATTTATGTGGTTGCTAATTTGTATGTTGCGCAGGTGATAAATTATCGTCACTTCAATGTTGCCTGTATCGTACTGTAAAGTCATGGATTTTTCTGCAACGCCCTCTGCCGACAACATAGCAATGCAAAGCAATAGCCTCTAAAAAAAAAAAACAGTTGGCTCCAATTATTTGGTTCGGCATCAGGCATTTGTCATCTTGGATTATGTTTTGCCCCAGCAGGAGTGGCAGTGAGCCTGGCAAAAAGAAGCAACATGTGTGCCACATCCCGGGCTGCAGCAAGGTGTACGGCAAGACGTCGCACCTGCGCGCGCACCTGCGCTGGCACACGGGCGAGCGGCCGTTCGTGTGCGGCTGGCTCTTTTGCGGGAAGCGCTTCACACGCTCTGATGAGCTGCAGCGACACCGTCGCACACACACAGGTTGGTTTGCGGTGGCTTGGCCTCGCGTTGATGCTTGCGCAGCCCTGGCCAATCGCGCTGTGATGTTTACGTTACCCTTGTTTCGAGCGTTTATGCGTACATAAGCATCATCATTGTTGTTAATTAGCAGCTAATTACTTTTTACACTATAAGGCTTGGTTTTTCATTCAGCCTTATAAATATTGGCTTGTATAAAGAATATATACGTGGGCTTTCGCGACCAATATCCATAATACAGGTTTTTTTGGGTTCGATCGCGTAAATATATAAATGTGTTGTTAAACCAGCCACCACCCGACACAGCCAATTAGTAAGGTTTGTCACGTAAACAGAACATGCCAATCCGTTACTAGTACAGCACACCGGTGTGTTGGAGAGCCAAGCCACAACATTTACAATCTGAGTAAGGCGTTTAGCCATTAATTACATCTAGCTTCATCAGGCGACAATTCGTACTAGTAACGAATTGGGCACGTTCTGTTTACGTGACAAACCTTACTAATTGGCTGTGTCGGGTGGTGGCGGGTTTAACGATACATTTATATATTTCCGCGATCTAACCCAAAAAACCTGTATTATGGAATATATTTTCATTTTATTGTTATACTAATACAATTGTGCTGCGTGGTGAATTAAGAAATGAGTTCTTAACAGGGTTTCATCCACAATTAGTGCGTTATACAATAAGTGACCAGTAGCTCTTGTCTCGCACTGTGCATGACCTGAGACCAGGCTGTCGCATGCACGCTGTCGATGGTTTTCAGGCGAGAAGAAGTTCCCGTGCCCTCACTGCAGCAAGCGGTTCATGCGGAGCGACCACCTCTCCAAGCACATTCGTACCCACCAGAACAAGAAGTCGGGCCTCGTGGGAGGGGCTTCTAATGTGGCGGTGGTGCAGAGCATCGTGACCGCCACGGAGGTGATGGAGATGGCGGTGTCGGCCGACAGCGACATTATGGCAGCGGCGGGCATGGTCAACCTGGGCCACTTCAAGCAGGAGATGGGAAGTGCCGGCACGGGGGTGGTGTAGCTCTCGCGTCTCGCGTGAGCACAACGGCGGTGTGAGTACAGGTTTCGGTAAAAGAGGCAGTGTTTATTTTGAGTCTCTTGTTTATTTGCTTGCTTTCAAAGAAAGGGAAAACTTACATTCATGGAACTTGCTGTTATTCTTTTGTATTTTTGCAATACAATTGGGTCTTGACTATCCAGAGGAAATGACAAGCCACTTAAGTACACTCAGTAAGACATGTACTTTTGTACACATCACCAGCTAAGGCTGTTCAACAAAACAAACACAATGCAGCTAAAAAAAGCAACCAGGACAAACTGCTTCACCAGCAATACTTAAGGTGTGTATTCCATTACATTGGAGTGTATGGAAGCATCTAATTTATAAGAAAAGAAAAAGACAAAAATTACCGGGATCCAACATTGTTGACTGTGCCTTCAATAAACAAGAACAGTACATGTGCATTTATTGCACTTAGTCGTATCACTTTCTTAAAAAACAACTCGTACAACACGGTAGTAGTAGTATGTTATTAAGGTGAAGAAGCCTCGTCCCTCACGATTTGTCACGTGGGTGTTTTTTGTAAATGAAGGCAATGAAACATGTGTTCTTTCTTGAATACAGTTTTACTAACATTTGTTATATGTGTCAACAACTTGGCAGATTTCTACCCGAGTAAAATTATAAACTTTATAACCACAGTAGGCGTTTATTTAGGCACGCTTTTTGTGTGGTCAGGTGAACAGTTTAACGGCTAAGATGTTAATTGTAAGCTTAAATTCAATATATTTAAGCCCAACTGACTTTCATTTTAATTGTACTGGATTCCAGTTAAGCATTAAGCAAAGCACATGCACACGTTTTGGCTATCTACTGTAAAGGCCATCTTAATGCATTTTCAGCCTGGTCACTTCAATCATCGCACCCAGTTCCTTCAATCAGACGTGGATGTTGCAGTCACATCCAATGGGGACACTGCATATAGGTCAGAGTAACATGAATGCAGCATTGTGTGTGTTTTTATGGTTGGCCTTGACTTTGGGTAATTACCCGTATGTAGGTTTAGCTACATTCTCAATTTTGCCCATCTGTCAACACGTACAGCCAGTGCTGTTCGGCAAATCTATGATGCAGATCCCTTTTTACCCAAAGATCGGTCTCATTTTACCAAAAAATGTTTTGTTGTACCGGATAATTTACTCGTCCTAAACATAATTTAGGCCATGAACAAATGTAGAATTACCAGTATGTCTGCTTTCTAAATATTTTCAAAACATTATTTCAGTATGCATTGAAACAGCTGGCAAATGGCTGTGGGCTAGTTTTGAGAACGAGGCATAATGTTATTTTTAGAGTCATTTTACATTGCATTATTAGTGAGGTCATATGCTATTGAAATAATTATATATGATGTGTGCATACATGAAAATAAGAAACTTTATACAATGCCTGTATAAATACATGTCGAATGCAGCTTATCCTCCGGTGGTCAGGAAATATTTTTTTCTAGCATAGCACAGTATAAATACAGCTGATGTATTAAGTGTGTAAAAAAAACAAATCTCATCCGAAAAGATCTTTGATGGGACTGGCCTTAAGACATCATCAAGTACTCGGTAAAAGCGGAGTCTTAAACATTCAGCACTATCATTTTTATTTTTGTAATTTTATTTAAAATATGTATTCAGACAATTTGGTATTTTGTTTGTTTCCCCTTGGAATAAATCCCCGCTTTTCATTGCATAGATTGGTGCTAGTTTGATCCCAATGTGCGTGTTGGATAGATGCAGAGGCCACAGCTGCCAAGCTCCATTGCTTTATTTCTAATGGGTGTTTCGTGTAATTTCTACTCACATTTACTTTAGTATTTTAGATGCTTTTATTTATATATTACCTTTATTATATATTGCTGTGGTTGGGGTCTATAATTGTTACTGTCATTGGCATGTCTCAATAATAATAATAATTGTTGTTTGCTTTCCTTCATGTAAAATATGAAAAAATGTAAATATTAAAAAGTGAATATGGAGAAATCATAATGCTTTAGTGGGTGATTGTACTTGGGATGAAGCTATAAATTGTCATTTGTTAGCATACACATTTTTACACAATGTTAGACAACTTAGACTTTTAACAAAAAAATTGCGTTTGTTTTCAATAGATTGTATAAGAATGCGCTTCTGAGTAAAGCCCAAACCAAAAGTAGTTGTGTTGTAAGTCATGAATATCTGGTTTGTGTTCATTAAAACAATCAGGTTGCAGAGCTTCGGTTGATTTTGCTTCTAAATGTAGGATTGCTTGTAAGTACACAGCTGGATAAGGGTACAATATTCCTTTTCGGGCCCTTTTCTAATGTTTTTCAATATTGTAGTCTGCTGTAAAATAAACCTCATTTGGTTCAATTATTTACAAGAGTGACGTTTTTTTATTTCACGCTTTCGAATGTTAAAAAAAATACTGTTCAACTCTTACCACGTAGACTTTCACGACTAGTATTAATGATGCCGGTTTTTTTTGATCGTGGAAATGTAAATGTCTCGTACAATTCTGACAATCACCTGATGATGTTGGTTGTAATTACCGGTGAAACACTCGATTGTAAGTTTTGTGGGTTTTCTCACTAACACACCGGTGCTAAAGTGGTGAAATGGCACGTTTTATTCACGTGACAAACCTTACTGATAATATAAGTATCGGGTGGATGTGGGTGTACGACACTTAATAGAATCAGAATATTTATACTGGAGGAATTCGATGATCTATAAAGCTCGTATTAACAGATGTCCAGTAGGGGCAGGTCTAACTGAAAAAAAACCCATCACGAGTGATGCATACCAACAATACTCTACAAGCATTTGGCCTCCTTAATCAATCTACAGCAGCCTCTGCTAAGAGTCCTTCGAAGCTGGCATCTGCTGTTCGAGGGGCTTTCTCTTCCATGTCTAATAAAAAAGAAACTCCGACACGTTTATCAATAACACTGCCTCAAAAGGAAAAGTATATACTAGGTGACGTTTTAAAAATAATTATCCATGCTTCCAGTTTTTTTTTATTTTCTGGCTGGCAGCTGACTGGGCTCCTTTCCACCCCTTCAATAACTGCTGTTGGTGGCTTTTGCGGTCCGTTACCACCGAAGCCCGTTGGGTAACTGGATTAACGGGATTTTCCGTGTCGCAAACATTGGATTGGTTTGAAATGACGGAGGAAGTTCGGAAGACGAGCAACACCGAAAAGGCAGGAGTTACAAATACATGAGACTTGACATGGTTAATTTTACATTGCTTAAATTTTCCATATATGCTCTTGTTAATGTTATTACGTCTCCGCGATTTGTTTGTTATTGTAGGGAATATATTTAACATCAAATCACACTTCATGAATATTAGCATTTTATTATGAAACGGCGTTACTTTTAGTGTTATATTCTTTGGGTCTTTCGGTAAAACCACGTTAGATAGAAAATTAATAATAAAATACAAATCACGACGTTTCGATCGCAACACAAGAAATCGTCATCAGGTGAAAAAATATAACGGGAGAGCTGCTGAGGCAATATTTTTTCACCTGATGACGATTGTGTTGCGATCGAAACGTGATATTTTTTCCTTTATTAATTTTCTATCTATGTGGCTTTACCGAAAGACCCAAATAATATGAATTCCTGCAGTCACGAAAGCTTTAAGTCAAGATTTTAGTGTATTGAGTACAGGATTGTGAGAAGAGTGAAAATGACAGCTGTGGATTATATGAACATTTACAAAGGCACGGCTGTTGTTGCAGAGCCAACACTCAATCGATAGAAAACTTGTCCACTTTACGGAATATTAACTTTAAACCTTTCAACAGCATATACACCTGTCAACAACGTATGGAGAGGGACCTGCTTTTTTCATCATCCTCATGGCTTCAAATGTATGTGGCCAAAAGGAAAACATCGTTTTGAAGATGTTATCGAAAAAATCAACATCGTTGCCAAAACATCAATGTATGTGTTGGAAATAAAACATCGATGTTACCGATGTGTATCTATCCCTATTCTACTGCACTTGCACAGCCACAAGAACCCGCACAAACCAAGGACTCGCGGAGTTTCCCAGTCCACAGAGTCTCCGCACACCCGGTTAGACACCGGGTGTCAAATGTCCTCAGGGCGTGTGCAGATGTTGAGCTGTCGCTCGGTGGATGCCAAGAGGCGACTTGGAGTTTGGGGACTGCAGCGACAAATCCCACACAGCCGAGGGTATGACAGGGTAAGGGGCAGCTAAGATTATCTGGGTAACTCGGGACCCTGAACCCGGGCACCCAGCACCTCGACCCTGGGACCCTGCACCTGGACCTGGGACCCTGGACCTGGGACCCTGCACCTTGGCCCTGGGACCCTGCACCTGGACTTTGGGACCCTGCACCTGGACCTGGGCACCCTGCACCTGGACCCTGGGACCCTGCACCTGCACCCTGGGACTCTGCACCTGGACCTGGGCTCCTTACACTTGCACCTGGAGACCCTGCACCTGGACCCTGGGACCCTGCACCTGGACCCTGGGACCCTGGACCTGGGACCCTGCACCTGGACCCAGGCACCCTGCACCTGGACCCTGGAACCCTGCACCTGGACCTGGGACCCTGCACCTGGACCCGGGCACCCTGCACCTGGACCCTGCACCTGGACCTGGGACCCTGAACCTGGGACCCTGCAACTGGACCCTGGGACCCTGCACCTGGACCTGGGACTCTGCACCTGGACCCTGGGACCCTGCACCTGGACCCTGGGACCCTGCACCTGGACCCTGTGACCCTGCACCTGGACCTGGGACCCTGCACCTGGACCTGGGATCCTGCACCTGGACCCGGGCACCCTGCACCTGGACCCATGGACCCTGCACCTTGACCCGGGGACAAGAGAGCGATACGATGTGAGCTTAACAAAATCCTCTTTAGTGTATTATTAAGTAATACATCTTACAGTTATACCTTATAGAGGAAACGCATACTGATTCACTGATTACTAATCTATTATATAATTACAATACCCCCCCCCCCCCTTCTCCGCCTGTGATCTCTGCACCTGATTGGATTCAGTGATGACGTCGTGCTGCTGCTCCATCTAAGACCGCAAGCCGGTGAATTGCTTCACTATTCTGGCAAATCGCCCGATGATGCTGGATGTAATTACCAGCGAAACGTCGTACTACTCAAATTGTTAATGTTGTGGATTTGCTCTCCAACACACCGGTGGGCTGAAGTCACTATTTGGCGTTATTTTGTTTGTTTACGTGACAAATACCTTACTAATTGACTGTGTCGGGTGGTGGAGGTTTACGATACATTTATACTTACGCGATATAACCCAAAAAAACTTTATTATGAATAATGTTGGTCGCGAAAGTCTACGTGGTAAACTCGTAAGTGTGACTTGCATCTCGAGACGCTGCACAGACAGGAGCTCCCACGTGCATCTTAGAAACAAGGAATGGAGGATTTTTGTTATTGTTGTTTCTTATTATTGTTGTTTATCGTTAGACGGAGAATGAGGGGTGGGAGAACTCACGATGGCGAAAGACGAAACTTCACGTGGGGAAAGCGAGATATTAAGGGCCTCACCGGCAGAGGGACCAGAGGATTTGAGCCACAACGTGGGCAGGTAACCGTGACTGCAGTTTGCGCGGTCATGGAGGTGGAGGCAACGTCACACCGAGGGAGCAGCAGCGAGCGGGAGTGCCCTCCCACTAAGTGCGTGTTGAGCGAGAGTTTTGAAACGAGGCCTCGGATTTTGGTTTCGGTATATGGTTGGTGTTCGTGATACGTTTAGAGTTAGGGGAAAGTTTAGGGTTAGTGATGAGACCTACAACCTCTATGTGTAAGAGCAGCAGGGACACGAGACTGAGTTGAAGACGACGCCTCAATATCCCCAACTGTGGCTCCCAAAGCCTCTTGTGACACGAGGCGTGTGGTGGCGTTAAAATCATGTGCACTTTGTGGTTAAGAAGTAGTTTCATTTGCAATTATTTTTTTCCATGATGGGTTTTTTTGTCCACGAAATGCATTTTACGTAAATTTTTTTACAATAAGTAGCTTTAAAATACTGCATGAATAATATTTTTCTCAGGTTCAAAGCTTTTAACACAGATTTTTTTTTGTAATTAACCTTTTGTCCACTGCGATGCGTGTTCTACCACTAGGGGCGCTGTGCTTGATTACTGTAATGTACATATTTGTCTTACAACGCTCATTTTGAAGCAAATACGTCGATTCACCAAAACAATCGAACTGCACGCGCGTAGATTTATGCAAGATCACTGTCAAAATAAGCCCCTTGAGACATTTCCGTGTTCACACAGTATGTGACATTGTCTGTAATCCCTTAAAAAAACTGTTTATTTTTGTATGGCGTCTAAATATCAAGCTTTAATTCATCTTTAATTCAGCTTTAAATGCCGTCTGCCCTCTATTGCCATTGAATGACCAAATTGCCGCGTGGCGCGCTGTGGTGTCTCGTCGCTCAGTTTCCCGGTGATTTTGCGTAAAACCACTGCTTAAATGTCGGTGAAACGGTGCAAATGGATACATTTGCTTTAAAAAAATGCATTTCAAAGGAAAATATCATAAAACAGCGCCCCCTAGTGATGAAACAGTGGTCTAGGTCAGAGGCTGCAATAGCATTCCACAGCGCAATTCAAGCTTGTGCTCGCAGTTAGATGTTTTGGTTATTAAGTACAGTAGTTGTTAATTGAGGGTATTGAAAACTTTGATATTAAACGCTTGCAATAACGCATATACTGACTGTAATGGTGATTGTTGCTTTAAGTGTATGATTTAAGGTAATTAAATAAATTGTGCTAAAATTGTGTTGGACTTGAAAACACTTCCCTGTGATTCACAACTCTGTGACTCCACTCAACCACCGTGTGACAATGGCATCATCGCAAATGCATCTTTGACATAGTTGATATTTTGTTATTGACAAGGCATCGAATTCAACAGCTCGAAATTATAGTATCCAACACGGATTTTTAATAAAGGCAAGCATTGTATAATGTTACCGTATTTAAACTTGATTTGGAGCTTTCGTGACTGCAGGAATTACTTTTTGGTTCTTTCGGTAAAGTCACGTAGAAATAAAATAAATAAAATCATAGAATACGACGTTTCGATTGCAACACAAGCAATCGTCATCAGGTACGAATGCTTGTGTTGCAATCGAAACGTCGTAGTCTATTATTTAATTTATATTCTTTCTACGTGACGATACCGAAAGAACCAAAAAGTAATAACCGTATTTGTTACACATCCCATCGGTTACACGGCCTTCTGCATAATTTCAGCAACATTAGCAAACTGTGGACGGGTTTCGACATGCCAGTATCTCATATCAGCGTCCGGTTTGCGTGAACCGCTGCTGGTGAGCTG